ATAGTGCTTGTTTAGAATTAAAATCCATCCGCTATTGACAGAGTTATATGTGGTCAAAACCTGCCCATTTTTCATACCGTGGTCGATTTTGGTTTTTTGAAATTGCACCCCCAATATGTTCCCAAAAGACGTAATTCTACGTCAAAAAAGGGTATCAGAAGGAGAACCCTCAACGGACTGTTTTTAAAACAGAGGTTAAAATACATACAAAAACACCTTATTTGCTATTGGCTTTATCGTTGCGCGATAGTACAGGAAGTGTTCCACGAAAAGGTGAGCCCCGCATATGTCGCACTCCCTCCGGACGGGGGTCCCTCCGTAGTTGTGGGACACCTTGGTGTGCCCCGTCTTCAGCCACGATGCTACTTTCTGGTCACGATGACAGGATAAAGCTTCCCATTTGTCGGTGGTTCCCTTGGTTTTTTTTAATGTTTATTATTTTTCGTGCGGAAAATTTCCTTTCGGCACAGTTCCGAATGCCAAGGCCACCAAACCCAGATGGCCCAACACCATCCATCTTGGACGGTATCAAACAAGATATATGAAGTTTCTCTCTCATCCTCTGTGAGCCTGTCTCTACTCTAACTGCCTATCAGTTAGCCTGTCTCTACTTAATTTGCCTGCAGCATCAATAAACCAATACCAGAACCAAACTTGGCACGTGTCTGACATCAACGCAGAAAATCTGCAGAAACTGTCCAAAAGTCCAGCAACCATAAACAAACAGGAAACGCATGGTATCTCCGCCTATCATCCCCGTAGAGGTAGGTGACTCACTCACACCCCAGTCCCAGTCACCGTATCAAACGAACGAAGAAGAGCTTTTTGTTTACCCTTGAATCTTCCTTTCTAGCCTCAGGCCAAAGTATTATACCTTATCGACTCGTTTGGTCATGATGACGGTGTTGGTGGTGTTGTTAACAGGTTGTTGCCGCTGCGTCGCCTACCGGCTGAGAGAAGAGACTGCTATCTTTATTGCTCACTGCTCCCCGTTTTTGGCTCTCTTTCTCTTTTGAACTCTCATTCGAGTTTTCGGTCGCTCATTCATTGCGTATGGAGCAGTTCCACGCCAAATGACGAATCGAGCAGATTCGACCTTCTCCGAGTTGCATAATTGTTTGTTATGGGCAATCATTCACATTTCTGCTATGATTCGGCCATATTGTATTGTATTGAATATTGTACTTTTTTTTTCAAGGTGATGTATTCGACATTTTTCAATCAATCGTAGCACGAAAATGGCGTTTCTAATCGAAATGACGTCTGCTACAAAGTTGGAGGGAAATGTAAACGGAGTTTTTTATGTCTTGTATTAATATTTTTGAAAAAAAAAATCGAAGAGAACGATTAAGTATTGGTTTTATGGTTTAACCCATTAACGCCTGGTGATCTATTGAGCTCAAAAGTTATACATGCCTTCACCAAAATTGTACTATGGAACAATCTCTTGAAAATGGTAATCAATTTAGTTCGGCATTGACTTACTAGTTGCTGTTAGTGTCCTTAGCAAACTTCGTTTTATCAACTTTTATAGTTTAACTATAGTTATGTTTGTATTACTTCTGCGTGAAGTTAACGATTTTACATAGTTGAAGATGTCACGTTTCAAATAACAGACTTAAAGTGGTCATATTATACGATAGATAAGGACATGAAAGTATAGAAATGATAGTTCTGTTAGAGTACGGTAGTGTGAAAATTGTATATAGAGAGTAGAAAGATAGCAAGGACAACTTTGAGGAAGGTACCAATCGGGATAATCATCTCTCTTTACCAAACTCCCCCGTTGGAGAGGGATGGTGATGGAGAGGTGCTGCTACTGTACCTTTCGACCAACTTTGCCTATTAGATTGAGCAAATATTTTTGAATAACACATCTGAACCAACTTGAAAAGATGACAAACACAGAAATTGAGTTTGAGGTTTTACCTCCATTGATATGAGTGTGCGGGGCGGGGTATAGTAAGCCCCCCTCTCTAACTACGCTTTTGAGATCAAGTAATTACTTTTGAATAATGCATCTGAACATACTAAAGTGATGAGATAAGAAACTCTGAAAATATTTCAGTTTGGAATCTGAGCTACATTGCACAGTGGTCCAGAATGCAGATTTAGGTGTAAGGATATGTTTTGAGTCTGAAATTGAAACTTTAGACTAAAAGTCTCTTCTACAAAGTTGTTCCTTATAGTTAGGCCCTCATTTTTATTATAATGAATTCTAGGGTGGTTCTTAATATCATTAAAATAAAAAATCTAACTTTTTTGTTTGTAGAAATTAAGGTATACATTCTTCGGCAAAGTTATAGCTGAGCTAATATCAAGCAACTTTTAAAAAGATTTTTTTCGTTTCTCTTAATTGATCGATTTAGAGCTATTTTCTTGAATTAAGTTAGGGTGGCTCTAAAAAACAGTTTTTTTTGCTCTAGATTTCATATTTCAAATTTCTCAGCAAAGGTGTCTTCAAATAATTTTTAGATCTTTAGAAGGTGCAATCGCAAACGCAGCAAGCGCTTGTCGAAATCTTTTGCCGATCAAGAGTTTTTGACGTTTTTCTATTTAAAATATGACCTTTTCAAATGTTAATATCTCTGGTTGGGGCAAACAAAAAAGGTTACAAAAAAATATTTTTTTTAAATTTACTTGAAATTAGCTCAGCTATAACTTTGTCGAGAAATATATACCTTAATTTCTACAATCAAAAAAGTTAGATTTTTTTATTTCAATGATAATAAGAACCACCCTAGAATTTATTATCATAAAAATGAGGGCCTAACTATAAGGAACAACTTTGTAGAAGAGACTTTTAGTCTAAAGATTCAATTTCAGGCTCAAAACATACCTTCCACCTAAAGCTGCATTCTGGACCACTGTGCATTGATACACCGGCAGTGTTGGCAGGAGAAGTTATTTTTGACATTTCGAAACATCGATTTTTGAACAGCTATAATTTTTTTAGAGACATTATAAATAGCACAGTACATCCTTCGTCAAAGTTGTTAGGTACTTCCTGGACTATACTTTTACATAATTAGCTGCAAAGCAAAATTGTGGTCCCTGGTAATGCAAATGCAAAAAAGGAGGTTTTCCATACTAATTTCCATACAAAATTCAAACGCAATGTCGACAGCCGGGCTACAACCAATCGTCCCCAAATTTTGCACAGTTATAATTATCATCCCTAATAGGTACATATCAATGTTAACAACTAAAGTATGTCCAAACTACGCAACTTAACTTGTGTTGGTTTATATATTTTAAAAGAAAACAGTGTTTTTTTTTTCTTTATTAACGAGACTTTCAGCCTTAGGCTGGTTCATCTCTAGGAACAGTGTTTCTATTTCCACTACAAATTTTAAATGGGTCGTCTAATGTGTATCTTGCCAAAAATATAATTGCTGATGGAGAATCACGGTAAAATTATGAAAAGTGCATATTTCCTTTAAAAAATTGATTATGATGAAACTAAGTTTGAAATATTTCAAAAATTGTTACATTTAGGTAGTTTATCGACATGTTTATGGTTTGACATGATTTTTATAATCATATTCCGTCATCAAATTGTACTTTTTGTTGTAAATAATAAATGGTTGAAAAATTATTCAAAAGTTGCTTTGTTTTTTTTTATTAATAGTTGCTCCATCCTGGAGTGGCTTATAAAACGTCCGCTTTTAATGAAAAAAACATCAAAAATATATCTAAAATAAGGTTTAATATATATCTAAGAAAGATTTCAGTGTATATTTTTTATTAAGCCTATTTAGTTCCCTACAACTCTTTCTTAGTAAATTTTTCTCTGCAACCAACTGTTTTGGAACTACATTTTTTTAATAATATGTGTACAAAAACACATAGGCTCTTTTCGAAAATTACTCTTGAGCCGAAATGGTCTTGCCTCCTACGGAAAATCCCGGGTCTATCATACTGAAAATATGTACCAAGTGTTATCCAAATCGAAGATGGTCGAGCACGATTCCAGGTTTTTTGAGGTGATTCTGGATGGAATCGAAATGGTTCTAAAAATATTTTTTCAGGAAGTCGAAGCGTGCAACAACTAAATGTGGTTTAGAAACTTTTCATGTATGAAACTATGGTTTCTAATAGTCCAAACTACAATTCTATCAGGTAGCAAGCTAACTTTTAGCCACAGCATACAATTCTAGATAGAGCTGGAATTAGGGCCTAACAGCTTTTGTAAACAATGACTTCTATCGATGATTCCTAGAAATTCAAGGCTTACCCACGCAAACCAACATCCTCATCAGGTGGGGAAACACTTCCCCTATCCGATGGATATGTTGGTCTGCGTGGGCGTGCCTTGAGTTCCTAGAAATCATCGATAGAAGTCATTGTTTACAAAAGCTGTTTCGCCTTAATTCCAGCTCTATCTAGAATTATGCAAAATTTCATGCAAATCGGAGAAGGTCGAGTCAAACATTAATTTTTGTTTTGCTATTTGGCCTGGAACTGCTGTATGTTGCTCCATCGTTTTGCCACTGTCGCCGCCGGTCGGCCGTCGTGGTGTTCGATGTCGGCGTGTTATCATCATCAACAGCACCGAGTCAGTCCCTCTGCCCGTTCGTCCGACCTTACCCCACTACACCCCATCGATCAATATTTGCTCGTGTTGCGATGCGTGTATGTATATTTTCGGCCTTCCTACGTACATGGGTATGTCGTTTTGGAAGTGATTAGAGCCAGTTTCTTCTTTTGCTTTGCTACGCTCAGCCTCCCCTTGGCTCTCCCCATTCCACCCACCACCCCCGCTCGGTGTGGTAGCGAACGTCTTGTCCCGAGAGGCTCACTACAATGATGGTACACGTTGCTTACCACGCGGGAGCGCTCGCTTCAGTCTTGGTGAGAACCGCCTGTTGAACACACGTTCGTGCCGTTTCGTATTGCGTCTAGTGCGTTTGAAAAGTGCTGCGAATCCGAGCCCTTCTTCTATTACGGGGAAAGTATTACGCGTTGGAAGATAAAGCTTCTTGAAGAATCTTTTAAGATTGTCGATTCGCGTTTTTTTTCTTCTCTCGAATTATAACTAACTTATAATGGCTGCCATTAACCCGTAGTTTATTCGCGTGACGTTTGGTCACTAATCGTCAACAGCAAGGATCTGTGTAGCAAGCAAATCTCTCGGAAAATACGCACTTCGTTCGTTCGTGATCCGCGTGTCCCGCTTCTTTCGTCGATTGTTCTGTTTTGACCGACAATTTCGTCGAAGGTGCAATACCGTGTCTCTGTCGGTAACCGTTCGATCTCGCGTCTGAAATTTCGGATTGTCATATTTTTCGGGAAGTTGATCGAAATTTCTGCGCAATGGCGAAACCGTAAGAAGGTAGTTCACCTCAAGACTCACAGCCGGAAACGGAAAGGATTGTTTTGTAATTCTTTTTATGACTGTGATTACCAAAAAGTGCGACAAGATGTCGAAATAATTTACGACCCAGTGTGTTTTTACCTTGATCGTTTTGCGATCGTCTACTTAAGAAGAAACCTAAGTGAAAGACTAGATAAAATCAATTAAAATTAAAGCCAACTCATATCAGGCAAGATACCGAAGTCAAGCTTCGGTATATAAGTGCGTATCATAACGTCGTTTAAAAGCGCCATGTGTGTAAGATTTCCGTAAAAATATTAAATTTAAACAAACTGTTACCTCGCGAGTGTGTGCAAAGTATTAAAACGAATACGGACCTAAAAACAATCAAACTGGAGGCTAAACGTACAATGAGACCAAGCAAATCGCTGATCATAAGGAAGTTCAAGCGCAATCGTATCAGAACAGTTTTACAAAGGTTAACCTCGACAAGCGGGGGGAATTGCATAGTGGATCGAAAGCATCTTCTTATGAAAGTACCCTAGATTCAGACTCAAAGCGTATTAAGTGCATTTTTAGTTGTAAAGTTGGTAGTGCTGCGATATGAGCTATATGAGTGGCCGTGATCAACGACTCCACGCTGAAGATGGCAGCGATGGTGAACAACCAAAACAGCACCAACCATTACAATCAATTCAACAACCTAGTCAACAACAACAACAACAAGCTCACAAACTGTCACCAACTCAACAACAGCAAAGTCAACATCAACAGCCACAACCTTCCCAAGGGAGGAACCGGCTGTTGCAAAGTTCTCAGTGGAGCAAGAGCTACGATTCGGTTATCAACTATTGGAACACTAGTGGACCTGCCGCCGCTGTAGCTACCGCTGCTGGATATCAGCAGCATTACGGTGGCTATGCACCACCACCTCCTCCTTACCATCACAGCCAGCAGCAGCAACAGCGACAGCTAACACCGCCACTGGCGCATCCCATTTCGCCTACTAGTCCTCCCGAATCAAGCCAAGCTCAACCTTCGTCTCAGTCGCCACCGGCGGCTTCGGCTAATATGTTGCAGCAACAGCTCCACCAACACCCTCTGTCATCCTCATACCATCACCCGATGCACCACTATGTACAGCATTCCCCCGCCCAGTTACGAGGTACCAGCAAGTCGACGGCCCAGTCATCCGGTAAGGCGAGAATTGGTTCGGGAATTCGGTACACATGTGATGCGAACTTTGAGTTTCATTTTCCAAAATCAACTTCCATAGTTATTAATTGCTATGCTTTCTATGCCAACCAATGCATGAATTTATACATTGTGTGGCAAGCACAACTTTATACCCTCGGAGAGCGGGAACATTTCCAACCTAAAAGACTTCCACACAACCGGACCGGTAATCGAACCTCCGGCGTCGGGCTTTGTAATGCCGTGCCTTTACTGACTAGGCTATCTGAGGCCCCAACTCGATTTACGTGCTCTTAATGAATAACACCATGGAAACGTAGACTTGGTGGAATGGCGTGCAAAGCAAGATTTATTGTCATTGTATGCTCCGAAAACTCACGCATATATTTAGGAACCACTGAGGGGAGCAGGGGTACCAGAATGTTTTATAAAACAGTCTTCAACTTTTAAACTTTTAATATTTATTTTTTACTTTTACATGAGTAGAGCGGAGTAGGATTTGCGTTAGTAAGATAGAGAGAGAGAGAGAGAGTCGAAAGTACTAGTTGTCTCCCTCATATCAACGCCAATCCCACTCCGCTCATGCACTGAAGACACCCACTCTTGCTTATACAGCTTCGAGTCCATCGTTTTTTTTTTGTTTGGTGATAAAAACCTTGTCAGATCATCGGGCGAATTTATCGGCGAAAACAAACTTAATTTTGCTGGGGAAATCACCTCGTGCTGTGGCCAGATAAATTTTTTGAACACGGTACACCCAACCGCTAGATTCGCTTACAATTATGTGGGATTCATCATCAGAGGATGTTAGCGTAGACCGCATGAACCGAAGATGCGATATAGCGAGCTGCGGTTCAATGCAAGAAAATGGAGAAAGAAAAGTGTGGAGTGTATTAGTGAGTGAAATTAATCATGTCGAAAAAAAAGTGCCGACTGGAGGACTCGAACCACGAACGTTACGATTATCAGACCTGTGCTTTCTCAATTGCTTTCTCTATTGCTCTCTCCATGCTTCGGGATATGGATTGGCAAACAAGAAGTGCTCATTTCCTCGCATATTCAACAAGGGAATCGAAGCCTGTGGGCGCGTCGTTCTACCATGTTATACATAACAATCAAGGCAAATGCTTGCTTGTGTAGGTGAAAGCATATACCGAACGCGGAATAAAAAAGATAAAAAAAACGTCAATTAAAAAAAATTTAAGGGTTGTGTCCTAGACACGACCGCAGTTTTGATTATTATACTTTATCTTAAATTTTTAAAGTATTTCAATGTTTCGGTTATGGTTCAAAACACGCGACAATTCATGTTGGCATAATCAGACCACGGTTCATCTTACGCATGAGATTATGTATTTAAATTTAATGTAATGGTTAAGAATTGACAGAATTTTCCCTACATAACTACCTTGGGTTGATCAATGTTGAGTTATTTTGCTGTGATCAATGTAGGTACACTAAATTTGACATCGACAACGACTACAACACTTTTTTTTTGTTGATTTGCACAAAAACGCCATGCATGTTGTGAGATAAAACAATTGCCAAAAAATGCATTAATATTTTTCAGTAGCTCCATCATTAGTTTTAAGTTGGGTTTCTGAAGCAGAGAAGAAAGTGAAGATTGCAATTTTTGATAACGCAACAGGCAGTTGTTTTACCTGTCAGAAGACGGTACTTTAAATATTGAACAAAATGTTGGTTCATATATCAACGAAGTAGGGGAGGAAGGGGTATAACGATCATACGGGGTTTATGCACCTCTTTGTTCACCAATTTGGAGGACAATCCTAACATAAAATTACCATGCATCATCATTATGTACTTTACAGCGTGTTCGTAGAATGATTGCAAAATAGAATACTGTGACTTTTCTCAAATTACAACAACATTAATTGAAAATTAGGGGATTCAGCTATTGAATTTACAAGTCAGAGCAAAAGCTTGTATACAGGTTCTCCGCCTGTTTAATGTTTTGATAGTAAACATCATAGTTAAGGTAAACAGTACGTATATCCATTTGGAAGTGAATATTCACTGTAATTATTTTTGAGAGGCACTGTGAACTATCGCAAACTATATTAGAAATAATCTCAGTGATTATTCACTTCCCCTAAGAGCTGTATCTACCGTTTCAACTTCCCTACGAGTTTCTACTTGCCCCGGTGTAGGGTAATGGATTTTGGTTGGGCCTATTCATGTCATTTTCGCACTGCGTCTAAATGTATACCGTCTGTGATTTCTATATGTGGGTTTGTGAAAACCGAAAATGGAACATGTAACAAAATAATGAAAGATTTTGAACATTAATAACTCAGCTGTCTCTGGACCAATTTCAATATTTTTATCACCAGTCGATCAGATATATTTCTACGCATCTGTTGAATTGAAGACTTTATCATTTTTTTTCTTTTCAAAATGTCACTATTGAAAATTGCACGAAAGTGCAACTGTTGCTTTGATAGTTAAAATTATCACCGATTTCCTGTGAAAAGCGATTTCCCTAACATAGATTTCAAAGTTGAACTCCATCCGGTCTCACCAAATTGTGTTTATTCAATCACCACGTGGTGAGTGGTGATGCAGCTGCAGCCCACATAAACATCCATAGAAGTAGGAAGAAGCCGCACCGCTATTGATCGAAATATTGAGATGTTGTGGGCCATTTATGTCAAGTACGCCATACTAAAGAGTTTAAACAGAGAGAACCCCGCTCAAATTCCTATTTCTCCACCAAACACAAGCTTCTGCTGCAGTTAAAAAATAAGATTTATTATATAACACTACGTCACCATTGCGTACAACCCCATAAGGCTGTCCCTTCTTGTTTTTTTTCTATCAATATTACATATGGACTTTTTATTTAATTCTATATTTAAGAGATTTTTAGCCGAAGGGTAGTTCATCTCTTAACATATATATGGACATGAAAAATGTGTGTTTGGTGAAAAAGTCTAACTTTCTAGTTTCTAATAATACTAAAAAATGAAAAATGTACTCAAAATAGGATTTTATTGAAACGTGGGCTCGTTCCGGGCACTTCCTGAGTAATTGCACTAATTGAATTCTTTAATTTAAAAAAAAAGTTGGTCGATTTTTATACATCATCTGAAAGAGCTTAGTTTTTTGAGCACTACGATATTTTTTTCGAAACCGTAGATTTTCATCTCGATTTTTAAATCAAAGTTTAAAGCAAAATATTAACTCCACTGTTTGACACTAAACTAACAAATTGACAGCTCGCTCCCATACAAAGTCCCACTGAGGGGCGCTAAGATGGTAATGTAATCGCGTTTATTTAAAATAGTTCCAGTGCTCCAATTTTGATCAAATTTCGGATTTTGGTTCCATGTTTGATGTAGATTACGAATATGCCTTTACCTCAATACCCTTGGAAACAGTAGATAGAGCTTCTGTCTCTATGATGCACGGTATATGCATTTGGGTTAACATCCGACGCCCCTCCTTCTTTACATATTCTGCACAAAAAATACTTTCTAAGCCCCGCCCCTGACAGGATTTCCCACCGTTTTTTTATGAATGGGGCGGGGCAGAAAGTATCTCTTGTGCAGAATATGTAAAAAAAGGCTGAACTCTGGATGTTTACCTAATTGCATATTTAGAGGTACCAGATATGTTTTAAGTCAGTTGGTGGTAAATCACCCACAGAATAACAATATAGTAACAAAATATTGTGAGCGTTTTTTTTTTCTCAAATTCGAAGCTCTCTGGGCAGTAGTTGGGTAAAAAAATTAACGGAATTAAACCTTTTTTTAACTACATTGTAGTTTGCTTAACAATTATTTCCCGGAAAAAGTGATTGTTAAAGTCCATGTTTTTTTAGGTTGTCGTTATAGGAGAGGGGGGGGGGGGGGGGTGTTGCATAAATAACTTTTCCGCCTTTCATATATTAGGGACTGTTCATTAACAACGTTGATAATTTTTTGGGATTCTTGCCCCCCCCCCACCCCTCGTTGTTAATGAACAGCCCCTTAGTTGAACAGGACTCAAGTCACCTTTAACCATTGACTTGCTCCTGCTTACTGCAGGACCAAGCGCCGGTAATGAGCAGAAGCGCGACAGCAGTAGTTTAAATGATCTTTATTTTAGTTTAACTTGGACGATTACCATATAAATTTTTACTAAGTGATTTAATTGCTTTCTTCATCTTTAGGTATGGGCAAAATTAAAAATTTGTTTTACAGAGTTAGTCCTAGACTTAGTACACGGTCGACCACCTTGGTGGGATTGGTTTGTTTGCGCGACAGCAGTGCTGTTTTATATCTTTTTAAAACGATGTGCAACCAAGTGGTACTCGATTCTGATGACTGGGTTTGGGAAAAACGCTTATTTCATGAAAACAGTGATAAAATTATCATTTGTACATTTTTCAAAAGTTTTATTACAGAAACATTTGAAAAATATTTATTACAGCAGATTCGCAATGTAATATCCTATCGATTGGCGTATTTGTATTTTAATTTCATCTATAAATGACAAAGTTACAAGCGTTCAAAACCTAACACTACTTCATCACATATATTTTTTGATTTGCACACCAGTATAGTCGACAAAGACGTAGTTCTACGTCGAAACATTGCATCGTCTGCAAGGTCAACTTCTAACATTCGCTGCGATGTTCATGCACAGAGGATGATAGGAAATGGAACTAACATTCATTGTAAAAAAATAAACGGTAGAATCGGCAATTTACAAACATTCGCGATATTTCGAATTGACTATGTCGCGTGTGCAGGATCAATTTTCTTTTCTTGTTTTCCATCTAATAGGGGAAATGCCTCTAATGTTGGTCTATGGATCTAAGATTGGGCCCATCGCTAAAAATCTGCTATTTATCAATTTTATCTATATGAACGCGTCATCGAGGCCCAAATTAGGGGCATGTTGGCCGACATTACAACTTTTTTAATACTGCACGTATCGAGACGAAACTTTCACCACTCAAACAGGTATACTTTCAAAACAAATCGCTGTCAAAAC